TCCTGGAACTTACTATATAAACCAAGTTAGCCTTGAACTTCCAGAGATCTGCCTGTCTCTGCTTCCCAAGTGCTGGGATTAAAGGCATATACCACCGTATCTGGCAAAAATACTTAGGTTTTTACATTTTGAAACAGGTTTCCTCTGTGTAGCCCTGGCTGTCCTGGAACTCACTCTGTAGACCAGGCTGGCCTCAAACTCACAGTGATCTGCCTGCCTCTGCCTACCAAGTGCTGGGATCAAAGGCGTGTGCTACCACCACCCAGCTCTCTTTTTCTTTTTTTTTTTCTTCAGTCTAGGTCTCACTGTGTAGCCCTGAATGGAATGGAACTCATTATGTAGACTAGAGTGGCTTCAATTTCAGAGGGATCTATCTGCCTGTCTCTGCCTCCTGATCACTGGGACCAAAGGTGTGTGCCATTACAAGTAGCCACATATTTTATATTTGAATGGTGAAATCCTAACTCACAGAAAGGAAAGTGGGAATAATTGATCTGGGCACATCTCAGGGTGAATATATGACTACTGTGTCTTAAAACCCTCCAGTGGAACATGGAATGGGATTGTGTCCTTTTGTCCCTAACTCGGTCATGTTCCATTGTGCAGTGTTCCACTGACAACAGAGACCGCTGAGTGGTGACCTCGATGCTCACTGCATCAGGAAGAGGCAGTGGGGTGCCATGTTGCGGTTGTACCTGGAAATCTCACTAAGGCTTCCAAATCACAACGTGCAGACCAAATGGAGAAGCGCAGAAACCTGCAATGCCCGAAAATAGCAGCTGTAGCCACAAACCAAAGAACAGGCCTTTGTGAACAGCGTGAAACAAACTGTTTGTCCTACGCTCATCTTCTAAGCCACAGAGAATCCCCTACTGTTGCTAATGTCTCCAAGGACAGGAATCAATTACACATCAAACGTTCAGTACTAAACTTTATTTTTCTTGTTAAGTTTCCAGGGCCCTACTTTTCCAATCAGAGACCAAGAGGACGTGAAGCTATATAAGGAGGACAGGAGGCCCCCCCCAGTCCACTCAAAGACCGAGGGGGCCAGGCTCAGGATGAGGCACACAATGAGCCATGAAAGACTGGGAGACGAATCACCTTTGCATTGTAGAACCCACACCCGGGGAAGACCCGAGTCACACCCTGACCCGGCATGTCTTTCAGGAACATTGGCCTCACTCCAACAGCTCACTGTACCTGCCTCACATCAAACCGTCATCTTTCAGTTTTCAAAGAACATTGCCTTTATCTCCTCAGCCAAATGGCTGCCGCTTGACGGAGGAAGATAAGTTGGTTTCAGAAACATTTCTGTTAGAGACAGCTGGCCACTCTGCTTTCTGGGTAGCTTCATACCTGGAGCCACCTTCCCTGCCTGACATAAGACCTTTTCACACAACTCAGCCAGGGCAGGGGATTGGCTTAGAGGTAGAGTCTGCTTGCCCTTGCACAGCACGTGTGAAGTCCTGAGGTTCAATCTTAGGCACTGGAAAAAATAAATACAAACAGTGGCTCTCAGCGTTGGACTGAGCCAGGCACTAAGGTCACCCTGAGCATGCCACCCTCCTCTGTCCACCATCAGTGATTCTGAGGCTAAAACACTGTGCAAAGTCCTTCCCAGGGTTCTGCATGGCCTTGCAGATGAAAGGTCAGAGGACTTAGCAGATGGAAGGGAATGAAAGGGATCAGGACAGGAAAGGGCTCCTCTTCTAAAGCCCAAAGCCCAAGAGAGTGCCAGAATGGGAATAAAAACTGTTTTTGCTGCTCCGAAATGCTTAAGAGGCCAAAGGATGGTCTTTAGTGGCTCACACAGCTATCCATTCATTTCAGAAGTTAAATCAGACAGCATTCTTGGGACCCAGTTTCAGTTTTAAATAAATCAGCAATTGAGAAGAAAGAAGCGCTCTTCTCCCCACATTTTAAAATGCAGGTGACGGAGCCAAGCAAAGGGAAAGTTGGCAAGGGAGCGGGGAGGTGGTAGGTGTGGGAGCCATGATAGCAGGGACAGCGGGGAATGACTAGCAATGGTTTAGTGTGGGGTGACAGAGCATAAAGGAGGTAAAGGGAACACCCAGCAGTGGGTGATGGCAAAGAGACTGGCAGTGTACAAGGGGTGGACTGTGGTATTGTGTTCCCCCAAATACTGTGCATGCTAATAAACTTACCTGGGGTCAGAGACAGAGCAGCCACAATATTAAATAAACATAAAGGATAGGCAGTGGTAGCACACGCCTTTAATCCTAGCATTCCAGAGGCAGAAATCCATGTGTTCAAGGATACAGACAGGCATGGTGACTCACGCCTTTAATCCCAGAGAGCAAGCCTTGAATCCCAGGGAGTGGTGGTAGAAAGCAGAAAGATATATAGAAACTAGAAGCATTTGGCTGGTTAAGCTTCAGGCTTTCAAGCAGCAGTTCAGCTGAGAGCCATTGGGATGAGGACACAGAGGCTTCCATTCTGAGGAAACAAGATCAGCTGAGAAGTTGGCCAGGTGAGGTTAGCTGTGGCTTGTGCTGTCTCTCTGACCATCCAGTGTTCACCCCAATAACTGGCCCCGGGTTTGATTTTATTAATAAGACTCTCTAAGATTCCTGCTACAGTGAACCCAACAGATGTGTATCACAGGGATCAGGCTCCCTTTTGGTATAGTATTTGTACATGTTCGTGTGGGTATGGGCATGTGCATGTGTGGAGGTCAGAGGCTGCTGCTGCTGTCTTCATTGATCATGTTTTCTACCTCATTGTTTTAATATTTCACACACACACACACACACACACACACACACACACACACACACACACACTCACTCACTCACTCTTATTTATTTGGGGGTAGGAGACTTGGAGGCCAGAGGACAACTTGCAGGAGTGAACCCTTGCCTTCTACCACGTGGGTTGTGGGGATTAAACTCAGGTTGTCAGGTTCAGTGGCCTGTACCCACTGAGCCAACTCACTGGCCAAGATCCTTTAAAAAAAGGGAGGGTGGGTAAAATCTGTGTGATGGGTGCAAGCGTGCACACACACCTGTGCACCACGTGACTGGTCAGAGGACAGCTGTAAGAACTAGTTCTCTGGGGGGCGGGAGGAGGGAGGACAGGAGAATCCGTGGCTGATATGTAAAGTTAAATTAAATTATATATACAAAAAAAAGAACTAGTTCTCCCAGTTCAGTGTACAACAGGACAGCCATCGGCTCACTACCTCCCTTCTTCAGCACAAGCGCTGGGGATGTAGGTTTACACTGCCCACCAAGCTTCAAACTGGCTTCCTGAATCCTCGATATGTCATTTTAATTTTTTGGTTTTTTTTTTCGAGATAGGGTTTCTATGTGTAGCCCTGGCTGTCCTGAAACTCGTTCTATAGACTAGGCTGGCCTTGAACTCACAGAGATCTGACTGCCTCTGCCTCCCAAGTGCTGGGATTAAAGTATGCACCACCACATCTGGGCCATTTTAATTTTTTTTTCTTATACTGGGGATTGAGCCTGAGTTCCTACCCATTAGGCAAGTTCTCTACCACTGAGCTATCTTTATTCCTCTTCATACTGAGATGAAGCCTCAGTAATGCTGTTCAGGCTGGCCTTAAACTTGTGGCAGCCCTCCTGCATAAGTCTATACTTATGCTCAGATTACAGGTGTCACACATGTGACTCACCACCAAGTGCTTCAAATGCCAGCTGTAGCTGGGTATGGTGGTGCACATCTGTGATTTCAGCACTGAGGAGGTTGAGACAGAGATATTGTGAGTTCAATATTTGGGAACCTGGACTCACTCACTCTCTCTCTCTCTCTCTCTCTCTATATATATATATATTGAGTCCTTGTCAAAACAAACAAACAAACCCAAGTAATAATAGAAATGAATCATCATTGACTAAAACAAAAAGCTGAGTCTAGGACTGGAGAGGTGACTTAGTGAGTGCTGTTCTTGCAGAGGACCCGTACTGGGTGGCTGAACAAACCACCTTAACTCCAGCTCCAAAAGGGACCCAAGCCCTAAGAGTTCCACAGGCACTTGTGTACTCACCCACACAAAGACAGACACAAAGAAATGCATACATAACTAAAAGTAAAATAAAATTTAAAAAACAAGATAAATGAGACCTTGACTCAAAAAGACAAAACCAAATCAACCAACTAACCAACCGGAAAACGCACACACAAAGTCTTTCCTTATACCGGAATGAAAGGCACAGTGAGGACAGAAACCGCTGTTTGTAGGGCCGGGGAGAACACAACTCAGTGAGCAAAGTCCTTGTCACACCAGCGGTGACACGCACACAGAGCGGGTGCCCAGCATAGCAGCAGTGACACGCACATACAGCGGGTGCCCAGCACAGCAGCGGTGACATGCACACAGAGCGGGTGTGGCAGCACAGCAGCGGTGATATGCACAGAGTGGGTGCCCAGCACACCAGCGGTGACATGCACACAGAGCGGGTGTGGCAGCACAGCTTGTAGCAGTCCTAGTGCAGGGAAGTGTTGCCAGCTAGTCTAGCTGAATTGGCAAGCTACAGGTTTAAAGAGAAACTGTCTACAAAAAAGCGTGGAAGGTGATGGTAAGATGCCAACCTCTGGCTTCCATGTATGTGTAGACACATACATGTACACTGGCACATGTACAAATATATACACCACGTACACATTTGGCAGCTATTAGAATGATTCAGCTAAAAGTCTAATGATAGCCAGAGACCATGGGAAATGTGTATGAGTAGACACGTCAAGGAAGCCCCTACCCAGTACTTAGTGATGACCTGAGAGCTTATGTGGTGGATCCAGCAGGGGACAGAAGCCCAGTTCTTCTCTACTAGGGAAGGCTGTTCTCTTTGATGGTGAAGGAAGGGGATGCCAGCATAGTGGGCCAGATTAGCCAAATGCACCCTAGTGGTCAACAGGGTGGCAGATGGCACAGCCAGGCTACCCTCACACCCCTATTCAGAGGTAACAGCATGAGGACCTATCAAAACCATTTCAATTAAGCAATATTACCAATAATGGAGATTTCAAAAGTTACATTTATTTTTTTGGTGTGTGTCTGAGGTTACCCACATGCCATAGCACACATCGGTTCTCTCCTTCCACATGTGGGTCCTGAGGACTAAACTCAGGTTGTCATGCTTGGTAGCAAGTGCCTTAACCTGCTGAGCCTTCTTGCCAGCCCCAATAGTGGGGATATTAAGAGGTACTTATAACCAAGTACAATGCAGCAGAACATGAATCACTTTTCTTCCTGCCCACAGGACTAAGCTGAACTGACTCTTAAGGAAACAGGAGCAAAGCTGGCCTGAAAATTTACAAAGTAGCCTGTAATCTTACAATGCCAAGGTCAGGGAAGCGAGACCTGCTCCAGGCTGGAGGTAACCTAAGCATACCTATTCAGCTGCACACAGTTAGTTTTTGTGTGCTGAGGACATCAGAAAGGCCTGAATGGTAGGAAAGTCACCATGTGTTTCTACCCGTGAGAGACATATTTGTGGTAAAGGAGGTGATGTTTTCAGTTGGACAAATTATACATTAAAATACACAGAGCTGTAACATCTCCCCTTGTGACCTGCCTCGTACACTATAGAAAACTTCTTTTGGGGAAATACTGTGGATTGAACCTATGGTTTTAAAGATGCCCAGCACTCTAGCACTGACTTGTGTCATCAGATCTTTTATGTTTGAGAGAGGGTGTAGGTTGTGCAGCTGGCAATCCTCCTGCCTTAGCTTTCAGAGAGGGAGCTGTTGGGAATGAGTCTGTGCCACCATGCCCAGTGTTCTCACACCAAACTTTTCTAGAAGTTTGGATCATTCCTGAGCTACGTTCTCAGCTTAATCTTTTTTTTTTTTTTTTTTTTAAAGTATAACAGAGGATGACCTTGATTCAATCCTCCTGTCTCAACTTCCCAAATGTCAGAATGACAGGTGTGCACCACCACACTCAGCCTGCCTTTAAACCTTCCTGCTTTTCCTTATGGAAAGTAGCCCCATTTTCCAAACATTTAGATTTCCTGAAAAGATACCTGTCTTGCCATGGGAACAGACACAACAGTGAGGCAATTATGGGAACATTTCAGTTGAAACACCTGAAATGAAAATTGCTTATTTGTTAAAATCACGAACATATCCTATCAATGCCTGCACAACCAAAAGGGAGGCAAACAGAAACCCTATGGATGAAGACCACGTTCAAGTGAAGGGACATAGTAAGTTGTTCTCTAACGGCTACTGAAGCAAGTATTTAAGTGAAGGAACTTTTTTAATTCTTTAGGGAGTCTGTGTGGTAGTTTGAATGTAATTGGCCCCCATAATCTCGTAGAGAGTGGCACTATTAGGAGGTGTGGCCTTGTTGGAGGATGTGTGTCACTGTGGGGGTGGACTTTGAGGTTTTTTATGTTCAGGATACCTCCCAGTGTCTCAGCTGACTTCCTGTTGCTTGCAAGATGTAGGACTCTCAGCTACTACTCCAGCACCACTTCTGCCTGCACATCTCCATCATGATGATGAACTGAACCTCTGAAACTGTAAGCAAGGCACTCCTATTAAATGTTTTCTTTATAAGAGCTGCTGTGGTCATGGTGTCTCTTCACAGCAATAGAAACCTTAACTAAGACAGTCTGGAATGTGAAGTGTGAAAATTCAAGGGATGCAAGACTTTAAAGGTCTAGAAGTAATTACGTACCAAGGTTATAATATATACATTTTGAGACAGGGTCTTGCCACATAGCCCAGGCTAGCACTTAACAAGCATCAGTTGAGTACTAGGATTACTTAGCATTTCAAAATTCTAAGAAAAACATGCCAAAACAGTTACTTATCAGGTTGTTTCTTCCCTTAAGACTCAGCAGCAAATCCTTATATATCAACTACAACTGCTCCAACAGACACTGGAGTTCCCAAAAACTTGTAAAGCATTTTACAATAACACATCTTTTGTGTTAAATATACAGCATTGTCTCATGGTGTGTGTGTCTGTGTGTGTGTGTGTCGAAACAGGCTTTCACTATGTAGCCTGGGCTGGCCTTGAACTTAAGGCAATTCTCCTATCTCAGACTCCCATGTACTGGGATCAGTTACATAATACCATGCCTCTGGCTCTAGGGCTTGTGCATGCTAAACATGTGCTCTATCAATGAGCCATCTTCTCAATCCTCTGAGACACAGTTTCACATTATAGTCCAAGCTGGCCTTGATCTTACAGGGATCCTTATGCCTCAGTGTTCCACCTGTGGAGATTACAGCTGTGAGCCATCATGCTTGGCCAATCTTGTTTTTTATTCTTTTTAAAAAAATTTATTTATTTTTATTTTATGTGCATCGGTGTTTTGCCATGGATGTCTGGCCCCTGTAACTGGAGCCACAGATAGCTGTGAGCTGCTGGGAATTGAACCCAGGTCCTATGGAAGAGCTGCCAGTGCTCTTAACTGTTGAGAGTCATCTCTCTAGTCCCTTGGTTTTTATTCTTATCTCCTAAAACAAATGTGTTGGCAAACACTTTTAACCTTATCGCTCACAATGTGAAGGCAGGAGTTCAAGGCCATTTTTGGTTGCAGAGTATGTTTCCTATACATAAAATTCTAGGTATTAAAAATTTGAGTGCCTAAGGCTAGAGAGATGGCTCAGAGGGTAAGAGTGTTGGCTGCTCTTCCAGAGGTCCTGAGTTCAATTCCCAGCACCCACATGGTGGCTCACAACGCTCTATAAAGAGATCTGGTGCCCTCTTCTGGCGTGCAGGCATACATGCAGACAGAACACTATACGTAATAAATAAATCTTTAAAAAAAAAAAAAAAAAAAAAAAAACCCAAAAAACAAAAACTGAGGGCTGGGAAAAAGCTCAAGAGTGTTTGCAGCCAAGCCTGAGTTTGAACCCCAGGACCAACATATAGGAGAGAACTGACTCAGGCAAGCTGTCCTCTGAATACCACACTTTTATCACAGCATTGTCCCCACTAAATAATAGTAACAATAATCATAAAAAAATGAACTTGAGAAAGTATATATTAATGGGTTTCACAATTAAAAACCACAATTGTTAATGTTAATAGAAAGTAACTGTTCCTGGTTTAAGGTCTGAGCTCCTTGGATTCCCAGACTGTCCACCATCAACAAGCTGCCGTTTACAGACGTTTCCTTATAAAAGCCCTAAAACATGATGACCTCATGTGCGAGGTGTGGACACCTCTCCGCTGGCACTGGGCAGGCGAGGCTTGCTGTATTTGCACTGAATCCAGACTCGGTACATGGTCAGCTGTTTGCCTCGGTTCACCTGCAAGCGGCGATCCACCAGGTTCTGCACCTTTTCCAGACCCGCAGCGGTGAAGAGAGCATGCAGCTCATCTGGTTTGGAAAGAGCAGATGTTTATGGATTTTCCTCTGGAGAAAGGGCAGTTTGCTGATGACTTTCCATGTTAACGGGAACTTTTTGACAACACGGTCAGTGTGCTTTTCAAGAGGCCTCGGCAGCACTGGTTACTCACTCATGCCGTGACAGTTTGGCAATGGCAGGTCCAGGTTTGGGTACCAAAGCCCTTGAGGAGGAAGGCCTACAATGGGGAGGAGTTTTAAGAAGGCAAAAGCTACAGGATGTGCTTTTGTGCTCATGTGTATGTGGGTGTGTATGCACGTGGAGGTCAGCGGACACCCTTGAACTAGCCTGGAACATACCAAGTAGGTTAGAATGGCTTGTTAGCAGGCCCCAGGGATCCTCCTGTCTCTCCTCTCCCAGTGCTGGGATTACAAGCACATGTCTCCATGCCACTAGTTCAGCTTTTTTTTTAAGATTTTTTTTTATTAATTAATTAATTTCCAGCCCGATCAGTTTCCCTTCCCTCCCTCCTGTCCTCCCAGGCCCTCCCTACTAGTCCAGTTTTTAAAAAGCCCCCAAGGACTCTCCAAGCACTGTAAAGTTACATGAGTGACTGGACTGTGAGATGGCTCAGCAGTTAAAGCACTGGCTGCTCTTTCAGAGGATCCAGATCCAATTCCCAGTTCCCACACTGAGGCTCAGAACATCTGCACAACTCTAGTTCCAGGGCCTCCAACACCCTCTTCTGGCCTCTGAGGGCACCAGGCATGCATGTGGTACATAGACATACATGCAGGAAAAACTAACACATAAAATAAGACCAAAAAAAAAAAAAAAAAAAGCATAAACAATGGGGGTGAAGGAAGCCTGTAACACCAGTAGTTGGCCAGGTGACAGAGGAGTGCTGCAAGTTCAAGGTCAGCTTGGGCTACACAGGGAGACTTGGTTTCAAAAGAGCAACAAACCCCAATACAAAAACTACAGGCAAAAATTGACAGTGTTTTTGCAGACAACGTCCAATGCTATGTAGCTGAAGGCTCAGTATATGTATGACTGGACAAAGGGCCCAAGAATATTCCTAACGTGCTGGTGGAGGGTGAAGCCTGTGACCGGGCAGACTACAGAGCAGGTCCAGGTCACCTGGAGCCAAGGGACGACTCACCCACACAGCTGTACCGCAGCACAGCCTGGTGCAGAGGGCAAGAGGGCAGGTCCCCACTGTGGACAGCACAAGTGAAAGGAGAGCAGCTGACTGAGGGTCAGCACGAGCCAGGTGTCGGGAAAGCGACAGCTCAGGGTGGATAGCGGGCAGTGTAGAGGGCTAGTCTTTAGAAACAAAGGAGGCCAGGGACTTAGAAAGGGCAGGTTAACTGTCTACCCGAGCTGGCACACTATCTGCCTTTAGCACGGATAAAGAACATCATCCATACCTTGTGTGAAGAAGTAGACTCTGGTGCCATCACCCCTCACATAGAAATTCCCAGAGAGACACTGACCTGTGTTACACGACAAAAACAGATACATTAATACACTTAAAAAAGAGAAAAAAGGAAGTTTCCTTATTTTTCAAGCTTCTATATATGGGCTTGTACCTGAATGAGTTTATCTGTACCATGGAGCTGATGGAGTCCAGGGGTGTCAGATTCCCTGGATTTGTGAGTTATGGAAGTTGTGACCTGCCTGACGTGGGTGCTGGGAACTGAACTCAGGTCCTATGCAAGAGCAGTAAGTGCTCTTAACAGCTGAGACCTCTCTCCAGTCCCTAGAGTACTTTGAATTTCATCACTTTAGCAAATGTGCAACAGACTAAGTGTGGTGGTTCATACTTATAATCCCAGTACTTAGTACTAAGTGTGGTGGTTCATACTTATAATCCCAGTACTTAGTACTTAGTACTAAGTGTAGGTAGGCTCAGGCAGGATGACTGGCATTGAGTTCCAGGCCATCTAGGATAGAGTGAGACCCCATCTCAACTCCCAGCACCTTCCCATCAACACTAGGCATTCAGAAACACAGATGTGCATTTTGGTGACACATGATACTTCACAGGAACTTGCAATTTCCTACAGAGGCACAGCACTTCAGCAAAGAGCAGCACCATGGGAAAAAAAATATTATTAGATAATAATGTGATTCCTAGCTGAGTTCTAGACTGCCCCACCACCACAGTCGGCCTAAAAATTTGGTTAAAAGGAAAACAATTATCAAGGTAACTGACTCTTAACTAAACTTGCCTGGCTCCCTCTTGTGTCCACAAACACACCTGTGAGAACTCACTGTTTTCAAGTAGACAAGCCTTCCTTTCTGCTCATCCCCCCAGTCTTACAACCTGCATGCAATTCCCCTACATGTTCTTAACAGTTTACATATAATAACATTTATTTCCTCCCAGTGAACTTTTACTCAAACAATCAAGGTTAAAATGATCATCTACAAATTGATTATATCACCTAGAAATAGACGAGAAACCTCTCCAAAACCAACTGTGGCAACCACCTTAGAGCTAGCATTCAATTTACAAGGTTTTGTTTACACCTACTTTACGCCAGCAGAGCTTCTTCAAAGACTGATGAACTGAATAAATATTAGGGCACTTGTTTTTTTGAGACAGGGTTTCTCTGTGTAGCGCTGACTGTCCTGGAACTTGCTCTGTAGACCAGGCTGGCTTTGAACTCAGAGATGCACCTGCCTCTGCCTCTGAGAGCTGGGATTAAAGGCGTGTGCCACCACTGCCTGGCTGCAATTTGTATTTTTATCATAAATGGAAGCATCGAGCTCTTTCCTTGAACTGGGCAGCAACAGGGTTGAGAAGAATTATCTTTTTACTTTTATTTCCATGAACTTTTGTTTATTGGTCATTTACATACACTCTTCTGTGAACTGTTAGTTTTTTGGGTGGGTCATGGATCTTTTCCTTATCAAGTTCAAAACAGCCCCTTGACAAACACAAATATGAAGACTTTATCTGTCCTAAACACTGACAAAGTCCTCTCACCCTGCCACCTGCCGACTACCTTGATTTTGGTGCTGAAGGCACTGCACACACTAGGAAGGACCCTACTACGAGCTGAACCCCCAGGCAGGCCCCCACCTTAAGCCATTCCTGTGTCCTGGGAACCACCAGAGGCTTCAACATGCCCCAGTGTTCTGCTACTGACCTATGTACCTAACCCTCTTGATTTTAGTTTAACTTCTGATAAGGCCTAGGACTCATGAAAATATTGTCTCTTAGCTGTCCAAATGCTAGAATTAAAGACATGCACCACCAAGCCTGATTATGTCTTTGAACTTGTTATGAACTTGAAAAGATTATGTCTTTTCATTTTGTTTTTCTTTTAAAAAAAAATTTTTTTTTAACTTTATGTTATGGGTGTTTTTGCTCCCAGTGTGCATGTACTTCTAAAATTAACTTTGCCCTTGGAGACCAGAACTGAACATCACATCTCTGGGAACTGGAGTTACAGAAAGTTGTGTGTCACCATGTGGGTGCCTGGAACCAAAGCTGGGCCCTTTGGAGAGCAGCCAGTACTTTTAACCACCAAACCAATTCTCCAGCCCGTTTTCATGTTTTATTAAGAAAAACAACAAAAATTTATTTATTTTATGTGCATGTGTGAGCGTGCTCCTGACTGTATGTATGGTTACCACACGTGTGCAGGAACTCGTGGAGACAAGAAGAGGGCATCTGGCCCCCTGGAACTGCCATGTGGTTGGTGGGGACCAAAACACAGCTCCTCTGCAAGAACAAGTGTTTGTAACTGCTGAGCCATTCCCCAGTCCTTTTGTTAAAAGACATACTATCAATACATATACTGGGCAGGAACTCAGTGTGTTTTTGAGGAGGGCCTTGAACTTCTGATCCTCATGCTTCTGCATCCCAAGTATTGAGATTACAGGCGCATACAGTCCTGCTCAGCAGTTCCACATTTATTAAAATGATTTATATAATTAAGTACTTCTAAAATTAACTTTGCTAAAGTGGCTGTTATGGTTAAAAGACTATAATACCCAGATTAGACCAACCTCCTCATATTTTCTCTCTCTCTCTGAGGCAGGTTTTTCTCTGTGTAGCCCTGGCTGTCCTGGAACTCGCACAGTAGACCAGAACTCAGAGATCCACCTGCTGAGTGCTGGGAATAAAGGCTAGGGCCACCACCACCCCGCTTATTTTCTTAAAACAAACAAACAAACAAAAACACAAACCCACCACCTTTCAGCTAGGCAGTGGTGGCACATGGCTTTAATCCTAGCACTTGAGAGGCAGAGGCAAGTGGATCTCTTTGAGTTCAAGGCCAGCCAGGTCTACACATAATGGAGAAACCCTGTCTTGAAAAACCAATCAACCAAACAACCAAAAAAACAAAACCCAAACCCAAAACCCACCTTTCTACTGCATGTCTAGTCTGATTGGCAAACCCATTTTTTTTATTTAAGTGGCAAAGTATCTTTGGAAAATAAACTTATTTGAGACAGGTCCTGTGGTTGAGGACAACCTTGAACTACTGACCCTTCTGCCTCTACCTCTGAAGCACTGGGATGACAGGTGTATACACGCCTGATTGTATGTATACACGCCTGATTTTATCCCTCAAGGGATCAAAACAGGGCTTTATGTATCTAAGTAGGTACTTTGGGCTGTCTAGTTTTATGTCAATTTGACACAAGCTATAGATATTTGATAGGAGGGACTCTCAATTAAGAAAATGCCTCCACCCAGCACTCGGGAGGCAGAGGCAGGTGGATCTCTTTGAGTTCAAGGCCAGCCTGGACTACAGAGTAAGTTCCAGGAAAGGTGCAAAGGTACACAGAGAAACCCTGTCTCGAAAAACAAAAAAAAAAAAAAAAAAAAAGAAAAAAAGAAAATGCCTCCATAAGATCAGGCTCTAAATCAGGTGTGGTGGTACATGCATTTAATCCCACGGATTTTCTTAATTTGTGATTGATGGGTGAGGGGCCAGCTCATTGTAGGTGGGGCATCCCTGGATATGTGGTCCTGGGTTCTATAAGGAAGCAGGCTGAGCAAGCCACAAGGAGCAAGCAGCATCCCTCCATGGCCTCTGCATCTGCTCCTGCCTCCAAGTTGAGGCCCTGTTTGAGCTCCTGTCCTGATTTCCATGATGAACAGCACTGTGGACATGTTAAGCCAAATAAACTCTTTCCTACCCAACTTGCTTTTTGGTCATGGTGTTTAACAGCAGCAACAGAAACCCTAATCAAGAAAGTGCTCAACCCAATTAGCTACTATGTCTTAGCCCCAAATTATCTTCACACACACACACACACACACACACACACACACACTCTTAAACTTTTTTTTGTAGACAGTATGGTACTGGGTAGTCCTGGCTGACTTGGAACTTACCACCAGGTGGACTTGAACTCAAGAGATCTTCCTGACTCTGCCTCCTGAGTACTCAGATTAAAGTCGTATGCCACCAAGCCTAGCCATACGTATATATTGTTAGGGTTTTTAAGACAGGGTTTCTTTGTGTAGCTCTGGCTATTCTGGAACTTGCTTTGTAGACCAAGCTGGCCTTGAACTCACAGAGATCCACCTGCCTCTGCCTCCCAAGTATTGGGATTAAAGGAATGTGCTATTATCAGCTGGCATTTTTATGTATTTAAAGAATTTTATGTATATTTTGCTTACATGTGTATCTCTGTACAATATGCATGCCTGGTGCCTATTGAGGCCAGAAAAGAGCATCAGATCCCCTGGAACTGGAGGTAGTTGAGACATGCCATGGGGTACTAGAAACTGAACCTAGGTTTTCTCTAAGAACAGCACTGATTCAGCTCTCCATACATACCTTTTTTAAAACGAAGCTGAGCCATGTCATAGCGGCCGTAGTCTCGAAGAAGCATCATCCCTCCAGGCTTCAGGAGTCTGCTTAGCCTGTTGATAGCTTTCTGCATCCTGCAGGGCAGCAAGGAATGAAGCTTAAGTCTCCCTAAGGATGGAATTTCCTCCCCTATAGCACAAACCCCAAACCAACACACTTCCTAACTCTGACATCAATACTAAAAGCCAGCCCTATATGTCACATGGTGGTGGATATTCCAAGCACTAAATGGGGCTCACTTCCTCCTGGCCCTGTGATTGCCACGCCTGCATGTGCTCCTGTAGCTCTCCGGGAGCCCTGACCACACAGTGTAGGGAATACCCATGACTCATCTGTCCCAAACTCTTATCAACTATGTCTTTCTGTTAAATGAAAAACTCTCCTTTAGAATTTAAAGTTGCTGGTGTGATGGTACACGCTTGCAACCCCAGCTCTTGGGAGGCTGAGGCAGGAGTCCTGAGTCAAAGGAGTCAGAGGGTGCTGTGCTCTTAACTGCTGAGCCATCTCTCCAGACCCCACAAAACAATTCAAAGCCTTACCACACTCCTGTGAGGCCAGAACTTTATTGCTAATCTAGAGGAAAACTGGGCTAGCTCAGTTAGGCAATGTCATTAGCTCCCAACAGGGAAAGCAGCAGCCAGTCCACAGCCAGCAGGCAGAGGTTACAGGCTGAAACAGAAGGTGGACACCAACACTACAGTTCTGTGGCTTCTTATGTCTATCAGACGTGAGGAAACCCTTTCTATTTCGGGCATAACTGGAGTTTAAGGTCTTCACATTAAAGCTTCTTCTCAGGCAGGCTATTGGTTAAGGGACCTAAGACTTACTTGTCTGGAACAATTGCTGAAAGAACAAATATAAGGACGATGACATCAAGACTGTCCTTGGGCACTGGGTAACTTTGATCTTCATTACACAGATCATGAACAAAGGCGAAACATCGAGAAGGATCATATTCTGGATTTGTCTACAGAGGTGGAGAGATAAACAGGTCAGAAAGGTGGACACAGCACAAAGAGAAGCTGACCTTGTTTCAGATGCCACTACTGTTAACTCCCAGCCGAAGAATTGACTTCTAGTCACCACGAGGAGGTTTTCCAGGGCACCCAGAGCGTAAGAATCAGAATTAGTCATGGTGCATGCCTGAAATTCTAGCACTTGAGAAGCAGAGAAGAATCAGGAAGGTTCACACAGCAAGTTCAAGGTCATCATGAGGTACACGAGACAGGACAAACATGTTTGGAGATGGGGCTGGAGAGATGGCTCAGCAGTTCAGAGCACAGCACACTGCTCTTGCAGAGGACCCGAATCTGATTCCCAGCGCTCACACAGGCAGCTCACAACTGCCTGTAACTCCAGCTCCAGAGAATCCAATGCCTCTGGTCCCGCTTACATACTCACACATACACGTAATTTAAAATTTTTACACAGATCTAGATGCCCAAGTTCATTCTTGCCTGGCTCTGTATTCCAGGCTGCTTTGCTAACTTTCTAAACTTTCAGGCCACAGTAAAAAGTTAATGAACTGAGTTTTAGGAGACCCTCCTTCCCTTTAATTAGTGGAGATTACCACAGGAGTCACTGTACTTACCTTGACCAGTTCAACAGCAGTGGCAGAAAAATCACAGCAGTACACAAAGAGGTTTGGGTCACTGAGACATGCAGAAAAAAACAGCAATTAGGACACAAACTGGATTATGTCCGTTCTCTTTATAGAAAAGCAAAGTCAAATGACAATGAATACCATTCATCCAATGCACCTATCAATCACAACACCCAGCAGGCTGGTTAAAATTCTGTGATCTTTGTCTTCTTTTAGGTCCTGTGGATATGGCTAATACTAAGTTTATCAAACCATCAGCAATAAACCCTGTCACTTCTAAGAAAATATCACATCAACAAGTGGGTTCCAGTAATCTTACTTAAATGGTACAGCCATAGTGGTTAAAGGTGCCTGCAGCACAATCATGAAGACCAGAGTTCAGATCCCAACACCGACACAGAGAGGTTAAAACACTCTCATCTGAAGAGTTACTGAGACTGTGACATCAATTGCTCCTCAAGAGCTCAGAGAGAAACATCTTTTAGGCCCCTCAGAGGAAGGCATCACAGATTAGCACTGCAGCTGGTGTTAACTCTAATTTCACTAAACATTAAATTAAACCACCCCTAAGTGGGTAACAGAGCCATCTAAATCCCACATAACTCATGCTTCCAGGAGCCAACTCTCACTTTTCCTCTTTGCTGTCCTGTAAATCTGACAATATACTTACTTGTTAGTTTGTAAAATTGGAAAGACTGTATTTCCTACACCACAACCAACCTGCAGACAGAAACAATCCATTAGTCCCAAAAGCTGTTCATTAAACCCCCCTTCCCACCTTCTTCTTTTTTAAAGAGTCCAGGCTGGTATATCACTTATGGTTTTTCTGCCGCAGCCTCCCAAGTGCTGGGGTTTTAAGAACTGTACTAGTAAAAGTATAGTGACCAGAACTAAAAAGGACCCATGGCATTTCCTTATCCCTCATGGACTATAATTACAGAGGACAGTAAAAGGCAAGAACATAGGCTTTCACTGGCTGAAGGAAGCTGGTCTAAAAAAAGGGCATGGGTTAGTTTTACTTTCTGAGTTCTAGCAGAAGGCACTATAGATAACTATTTTCCTAATGAACTTCACTCACTACTACTAGAAAGATGGACTGCAGGGTCTCTGTGACCTCCATGGCCAGCAGAGACAATCTGGGAGGCGAGAAGCCAGTTCAGTTCAACACCACCAAGCAGCTGGTGTTGCTTCAGACTCTGGGAGTCTGGCCCTGAGTGGTTTATTTTAGGCATATTTAAGCACAGCAAAACTGGGTGGAAACTTTTCTGGTGACAATCCCACATGCACAATAAAGCATATATAAATCTCTTTGAGAAACAAAGTAAGCTAAATAAAGATTCAATGAGTACATTGAAACTCTTTGTAAAGTACACATGACACCTTAAAGATAAATTCTATAGTGAGAAAAACAAGCTCACCACAAGGGTCAGGGGAGGCTCAGCGGTAGTCACCATGCTATTAACCACTTCTGCTCCCAGCCTTCTGGGCATGTAACAGGCACTGCATTCCTTCCCTTGAAGGAACAACCCTGAATGCCAACATTCCAGGTTCCTCTAGTGCTTATCCGTGAGCATAAGGACCCCCTGCCTCTACAACATGCTGGGTTGAAACATTTGACAGAAACACTATGCTAAATATAGTGCTTTCTGCAGCAATAAAAACTGTAAATATTCACCAGAGGGCTACGTGGCAGGCATACTTCTTAGCCATTTTACATATACCACCTCAAAGTTTCTTACAGCTATGACACCAAGAGGCTCCCAATCCTCTATGTGGGACATGGGCTATGGAATATCTCACAGGAGGTAATAAGGATTAGCTAAGTGAAGAGCCTGCGGTTTGAGGACTTCGGTTCAATTGCCAGCATGCCCCATGGCATTAGACTTAATTCCAAGTTTTACTAGCTGTAGAAGCAGCTTCCAGTGAAGTTGGTAGACACTGTTTGTGCACTTCCCTTATAGTACCTGCCTAGGTATTTTCCCAGTTTAAAAAAAAGAAAAAGAAAAGGAGAAACAATAAATAAATGAACATGGAGATGATTCCAGGCTGACATGGGGCTCAAATCTAGCCTGCTTCAACAGAAAGACGACAATCTGGGTTATCCTTTCTAGTCTTACTTTGCATGTAAAATGGCCATCCTCATTAACTCCATTATTAGGAAAATACAAAGTTACCTCAAGTATTCGGTAGGTGGCTGAGGATCCAGGAAATTCATCAGCACACATTTCTAGGTGCCCGAGCTTCTGAATTACAGTCTCTTCCACAGGAGGCAGCTGAGTTTCACATCCATGGCTGGGACAAGAACACCTGTGCTGCTCTGTTGTCAAGCCAGGCCCATCCTCGCTGCTTCTGCATTTAGAGACCTCACTCTTCTGCCTCTCCAAGGGTAAATCCATCAGGTGATCGTGGCTAGGTGCCAGTTCAGGGAATTCAGTAAAAAGCCAGTGTCTATCCTTGAAAAATCCATTTTCATGAATTTTGTAGAAGTCATTCCAGTATTTATGGGCATTGACTTCATAATCAACTGTAAATATTATTTAAGAAAGAATTTTAAAAATCAGTCTCAAATGTTTTATTTATATCTAATGTCAATTGTCCTGTTTTATCCAATGTCACTTTATCCTAAAAGTATCCTTTTAAGAATCAGTCTTGCCAGGCGGTGGTGGTGCATGCTTTTAACCCCAGCACTCGAGAGGCAAAGGCAGGGGTATCTCTGTGAGTTTGAGGCCAGCCTGGTCTACAGAGCGAGTTCCAGGACAGCCAGGGCTACACAGAGAAACCCTGTCTCGAAAACAAACAAACAAACAAACAAAGAGTCATTCTTAGAACTGAACACCTTCTCAGGTAATTGTCTTGTTACCCATCTATCATACATTAATGCCACTCACTTTTCATTCCCAGGATTCTCAGCTTCTGGTAGACCCATCACACAGTGAGTTTAGCTACCTATCATTTTTCTTCTACATCTTTGGATGGCCCTCCACTACAGGAATATTGTGAAATTAAGCAAACCCCTAGCACCACACACACACACACACCCCACCCAAAAATCTAATTATTCTTGGTTTCAAGGTTCTATTTGCCAGGGATAAACAGATCCTTTGGTATCTGTGGTAATTATTTTCCCTTGTAAATTTTTTATTTATAAACTAAATGTCTCAGGTCCTTTGGACGTTCATATAAATTCAATGACTATCATCCATGCAACTCTTTGGAAGGTATGTTCTTGCTTCTTTAGAATGTGGAGGCCAGGACCAAATCAAGGTTATTAATAAACACTAGAAATGGAAAATCATCTAATAGGAAACTAGACGATGCAAAACTCCTTTCCTGAAGTAATAGTTTCGATGAGCTGGAGGAGAGACTAGTATATAAGTGTGGGCTGTTTCTTGGCTTTTTGCCAACATGAAAACCCTGACTTGAATGAATGAAAGAATAAAAAATCTAAGAAATGGGATTCCACCACTGACTGCTTACCTCTAGGCAAAGCACTTAATGCCCTGTGGTCCAAGTGTAATTTTTTTTTTTTTTTGAAGACAAGATCACCCTGTTGCCCAGGCTGGCCTCCAATTCAGTGATCCTCCTGCCTCAGCCTCCCACGCAGCTGAGTCTATAGGTATGCACCACTGCACCTGGCTAATCGGTTCTTTAACTGTAAAAAGAGGATATTGGGCTACGTGATTTTCAAAATCCCTTTCAACTCTATGTTGCTTTATCTAGTCTTTGTCAAACAATGCAGGGTGCCTATTTTGCAACTGGAATACACACATACGCATATTTATTTTTGACACAAGGTCTCATGTAGCCCAGGCTTGGATTGGAACTCTACATAGCAAGGATGATCTTGACCCTACTTGTCCTCCGACCTCTACCTTGCTAGAGACACCACTTCTACATCCTAGGAGGTACATGCCTGGTCTGCACTGGGACCTTACCTCTATACAGAAACTCTTTCAGCTTTACTTTCAAATGCCTCTTAGAAATAGAGCCAAACAGTTTTAGTTTTAGAGATATTTTATAATGAAATTATTCTTGTCTTCAGGAAGGGCCTTTTTTCTTTGACCAGATTCATTTCCACTCCACTCCACTCATCTTTCTTTGGCAGAAGAAACAGATCCCCAAACTTGTTACCTCAGGAAAAGATGTATCAGCCATTAATCCTCTCCTCCAACAGTATTTAGGATCTGACCACATCAATCTAGCTCTAATGGAAACTCCCCAGCAGAATGTCAACTGTAGAACCTACACTGAACTGAACGAACGACTGTATGGTTGCCACAGGCCAGCCACGTCAACATGATCTAAAAACGTAGATACTAGAAAATAAAACAAGAACGGTTCACCTCCGAAAACAAACCGCAAAGACCTAGAAAACCCAACCCCAAGGTCCACCAAGATTTTCTTAGAAAGCAGCCCCTTTGCCTCCTGGCTCGTCCCCTCCCCGTCCCGTTCTATGCCGGAGTTCTCCATCAGGCCAGTAGTGACAAGAGATCCTGGTGGCCGCACTTCTTTTTCCCTCTCCAGGAGACGCGTCCTGCACTGCCGGCTGTGGAACCACCGAGGGAAAACCGAGCGCACCTTGCTTCTCCGGGCACACCCGCTGCGAACTGTTCTCCTGCACTTTCCTCTCGGCCGCCGCGGCCTGCTCCTCTGACCACTCCACATTGTCCCTGTGAAAACCAAACAGGCAGCGCTTAGAGCCCTCATGCGCCGGCTGCGGCCAGGGTGAGTCGCTGGCCCGGGAACGTCTGTCCCCGAGAGGCGAGAGCCGGGCCTCCGAGGGGCAGGGCAGTTACCAGGCATTGTAGTGGAAGACCCGCGCCGGGTCGCTCAGGAACCGGTTCCCGAACTGCCGTCTTTTCCCGTCCTGGGTCTCCGGCACGCCTTCAGCGGACGACGCCGCCATGACACCGGAGACGGAAGCACCCTTCTTTTCCATAACGCAAGGACTTCCGGTGGGCCACGCCCCCTTCCGGAAGCAGCGGTGTCTGCGCGGGAAAAGCGGGAGGCGGGTCGGGGCGGGTCGCGGCGGGTCGCGGGGCGTTTGACGTAAGCCCTGGCCCGGAAGCTGGGGAGCTGGGGAGGCAGCAACCGAGTTGGCTAGACTCCAGGAGCCTTCCGGTGCAGACGGCGATGGGCGTGCAGGACCGGGAGGAAGTGAGAGCCCGTCCCCTTGAGCCCGGTCCAGGACTGGAACCCCAGCAGGCCCCCCCAGTTTCCCTCCAGGAAAGCCTTGACTGTGAGGAGACAGGGTAGCGGACTCACAGGTGCTGACAGCCAGCAAGACCACAGTCGGCCCCGGAGGCAAGGCGTGTGCGCGTAGTGGGGTCTGAGAGCATAGACAGGGTCACGTTGAAAAGGAATATATACATGACCGCACCTTTTAGAAAACCAGGCTTAATTGGCATAATAAAGATCGTAATACATGTATGCACATAGTTCAATATACATGTATACACAATATTCAATTTGCATAAATGTATAATACATATTATACATTTATATATTATACATATATGATCAATATCTTTAATCTAGTGGTAGATCATGGCATATAGTCTATAATTGTGCATTTTCAGGCTTATATCTCTATTTAAATTCCCCCCTTTATGTGTATGGGTGTTTTGCCTGCATGTATGTCTGCACACCACATGCGTGCAATGCCCATGGAGGCCGAAGAGGGCACTGGATCCCCTGGAACTGGTGTTACAGATGCTTGTGAATCACCATGTAGGTGCTTGGAATCAAACCCTAGGTCCTCTAGAAGAGCAACAAGTGCCCTTAACTGCTGAACCATCTCTCCAGCCTCTATCATTTTTATTCCTAAATTATTACAATTTTTTTTTTTGGCTTTCCTGAAACTCTGTAGACCAGGCTGGCCTCAACTCAGGTCTTCCTGCCTCTGCCTCCCTGGTGCTGGGATTAAAGGCATGCACCACCATGCCTAGCTACAATTTTAATTTTTTTTTCTTGTTTGCTTGTTTTGAAGCAGAGTCTGTACCCCAGGATGACCTAGAATTGACTTTGTAGCCCAGGCTGGCCTTTAAATCATAATGATCTTACCTTAGTGTCTCAAGTGCTGGGATGTTTTTTGCAAGTAATTTATTTTAAAGGTTTTGTACACATATATATTGTAGGTTGGGCACATTCCTCTGTAGCCGTCTACCCTCCCTTTTCTCGGTCCCCCTCACTCCCTTTAGCCTCCTTTGTGTCTACCTCATGCTGTATATCCATACAGGAACAAATTGACTCTTAAAAGGATCTCGTAGAAAGCATGCTGTCAATATAAGGTTGGCTGAGAAGACTCCAAGTGCTGACTACTTGGAGTGAAGGAAGGAGTTTTTAGTCAGTGGAGGTAGACATAGCCCACGATATTCCACAATATTCATTCTATGGAATGAAGGGCATAGTGAAGACCACAGTCTTCCCATCAAAGACATGGGAACATGCTCTAAGCCCTTCCTAATCATGAAGATAAAGACATGAGAATAAAAAGACAGTCAAGGACATGTATTTTATATTTATTGGTGGGGGGTGGGGTGGGGGGTGGGGAACATGATCAAGTGAGCATGTGGAGGTCAGAGAACAGCTAGCTGGAGGTTGTTTTCTCTTTCTACCATGTGAGTACTGGGGATTAAACTTGGTCGTCAGGCTTGGTGGCAAGCACCTCTAGCCACTGAGTCATCTCACCAACCCCAAGAGCATGTGTTCTGTTTGAAGACAAAAATATGTCATTCAGCCTCACAGCATCTTGAAAGACTCTGAACAGGAACCCATTTCCAAAGAGCAAGGACAATGTCCAAGGCCGGCTGTGTGTAGTTAGAGCAGTTGACTTCACATTTCTAAAGATCATTTTTATTGCATTTCTTCAGTGTGTGTGCACATACATGCCACAGTGCACCTATGGAGATCAGTGACAACTTGCTGGAGTGGGCTCTCTGCCACATGTGAGTTCTGGGGGTCTAATTCAGGTCCTCAGGCTTGGTGGCAAGCAGCTTTACCTGCTGAGCCACCTGACCAGCCCAGTGATAGTTATTTTATGTTTTGAGACAGAGTCTATGTAACTCTGCCTGGCCTCAAGCTTGCTATGCAGATCAGGCTGGCCTCAAGCTCTGAGATCTGCCTGTCTCTACCTCTCAAGTACTGGAATTAAAGGTATCCACCACCACATCCAGCTACATTTATTTTTATATCATGTTCTTCAAGAGCCAAAAGACTTCATTAAAAACTGTTAGAGATAACATTCAACAATACCACTATAAAACTTTTGTGAATGCAGAAAGCTCATTGTTCTTTTACCTGAAGTTCCAGTAAGTGAGCCCTTTGAAACCTGTGGCTGTTGGGGTGTGCGTGTGCGTGTATGTGACTGTGTGTTTTAATTCTTATTTTTCTTTCTTTTTCTTCTCCTCCTTCTCCTTCTCCTCCTCCTCCTCCTCCTCCTCCTCCTCCTCCTCCTCCTCCTCCTCCTCCTCCTCCTCCTCCTCCTTCTTTCTTCAGAGAGGGTTTCTCTGTGTAGCCCTGGCTGTCTGGAACTAGACCAGGCTGGCCTCAAACTCAGAGATCTACCTGCCTCTGCCCTCTGAGTGCTGGGATCAAAGGTGTGCACCACTACGCCTGGCTAATTATTTTTGAGACTATAATATAATTACATCACTTTGCTCTTCCCTCTTCTCCTCCCATTACTTTCTTTCAAATAAATGGCCTTTGAAGATGGGCCAGTGTAGCTAGAGTTTTCCTGCCTGGCGGGTGAGAGGACAAATCTCTCTCACCTGCCAGTCCCGCAGCTGCTCAGACCCAACCAAGTAAACACATAGAGACTTACATTGCTTACAAACTGTATGGCTGTGGCAGGCTTCTTGTTATCTAGTTCTTATATCTTAAATTAACCCATTTCTATTAGTCTATAAGTTGCCATGTGGCTCGTGGCTTACCGGTATCTTAACATCTTGTGGCGGTGGCTGGCAGTCTCTGACTCAGCCTTCCACTTCCCAGAATTCTCCTCTCTCCTTGTTCCGCCTATACTTCCTGCCTGGCTACTGGCCAATCAGTGTTTTATTTATTAACCAATCAGAGCAACACATTTAACAAACAGAACATCCCACAGCACTTCCCCTTTTCTTTTTTTCAAAAGGAAGGTTTTAACTTTCACATAGTAAAATTACATATAACAAAACAATTATCAAGCAAGAATTACAGTTACAATATCTAGTCTATTTAAATATGTAGTCTATTTGTATTTGGCAAAATTAAAAAAGATATCCTATCTATCCTATATTTGTGAGTCTAAGGTTTCATATCTAACTTATCTTTTATCATAACTGAGGAAATTATAACAATCTAGTCTTCAACTATATCAAAGGCCCCAGAAGGATATAATATTATCTGAGAAATGAAAGAAGAACACAAGCAACTTTTGGGAGTCTTGTGACAATAGACAGAGACAGATGGCAGCCTGGACAGTCACCTAATGTTTTTCTGTAAAGTTGGGGCATCTGTTTTCAGCTCACAGGCCTAGAGTCTCTCAGTCACTTCTCTCTGTGTCCTGTAGAATGTCTGGCAGTTTCCTCTGCAAAGCAGGAACCTGAAGGACCATTTTGCCAAGCAAAGTTCAGTGGTCACCTTCCTATGGGTCCTGCATGTCCAGTTGATACATTTTTTTTTTTTTTGGTTTTTCGAGACAGGGTTTCTCTGTGTAGCTTTGCACCTTTCCTGGATCTCACTCTGTAGACCAGGCTGGCCTTGAACTCACGAAGATCCGCCTGCCTCTGCCTCCCGAGTGCTGGGATTAAAGGCGTGCGCCACCACCACCCGGCGATACATTTTTTTTAAGCAGTCCAGGCAAGAACAGTTTCTTGCCCAAATGGCTATTTTTTGCCAAAAAGAAGATAAACTCCATATAGAGTGTCTTTGATGCCCATCCTCCTCTCTGAAGTAAATTGGTGCTGCCAGGAGCAGACATGTCTCATTGTCCAGAAAGTCTAAATTTTTAAAACATTTTAAATGCCATATTCTGTAGGTCTTTGAAGTGTTTGAAGATTACCTATCTATCTGAAATATATCTATGTATACCTAGGAAACTTAACTAACATGGCTACAAGTATGGTTATCATAGATGACTAATTATTAATCTATTTCTTAATTATCTATTACAATTTTAAATGAGCTGTACAAACATAATACCTTAAACAAGAGCAGAAATATACACACAGTATAACAAAATTAACTTTAAATTTGTATCAATAAACTAAAATCTATACCAATGTAAAACATTTCAAACAAGTCGTTGCTCTTTAAAAGTAGGTTCAAAAATCTACACTTTTATCCTATTATTATCTATACTATCCCCTTTTTTTTCTTTAGAAAGAGATTGCATTTATAAGCAACCTGTTTTAAATAAAAATATTGTTTTTTCTCTATCCCACACCCACACCAGAGGGCTCTTCTGATATGGGACAAAAGAATCTCTCAACCTTTTCTTTTTTTTTAGCAATATGTTTGGGTTTAGAGAAGGAGTGAGCCAATTCCATCTCCAAAGCTAGCTTGGTATATTTGGGAATTTGGGTGTAGCTTCTCTTACTACTTCCTGCTAGATGGGGGTGCTGTATCTTATGGGGACACAAAGAAAATGTTAGGATTATGGAGTAGTCCATGAGGGTGTATTGTCTGAGCCAGTTGCCTTGAAACCGTTCTGGATGTTGGATCATCTGGGCCATGGTGTTACTGGAGACCTTCCAGGGGTCTTGGCTGGTCAAACCTGATGTATCTTAATCTGAAACAAATCCATAGCCTCTGGCTTTATGTGGAAACAAAAGCAGAGCCTCCTTTCCAAAGCAACATATCCTTATATCAAAATTTTGAAGTCAAGGTACCTTTAAAATATACATATTGACTTAACTCAACAGCTTTTACAATCAAATGTTTTTCTGCAG